AAATGGACATCAATTTTTTTAATTTAAGCAGGGCCACAATTTTTACAGTGTACTGGCCAGTAGCCCTCACCACGATAGTTGCTAAATGCTTCAAAAACTGGCTTTTAGATAAGATGGTTCTAATTTTAGCGATATTACGCAGGTGGAAGAAGGCAGTTCTTGTAATGTTTTTAATGTGGGGGTTAAAAGGCATGTCCTAATCAAAAATAACACCAAGATTTTTAACATTAGAGCTGGAGGCTAGATTAATGCCATCCAAGGAGGGCGAAAGACTGAAAAATTAATTTCTAAGATGCTCAGGTCCAAAAACTAAAACCTTTGTCTTGTCTGTGTTCAAAAGCATAAAATTTAGGGTCATCCAGGATTTTATGTCTTTAAGACATAGTCTAAGTAGCTTATTGGATTCATTAGGTTTTGTGGGCAAATATAACTGTGTATCATCAGCATAACAATGAAAATGTATCCCATGCTGTTTAATAACATTACATAGTGGAAGCGTATACAAAGTAAAGAGTATTGGTCAAAGCACTGAACCTTAAGTAACTCCATGACTAACTTTGGTATGAATCTTTCCAAGATCTCCAGAGTCCAGATGCAGGACTAGCACATCTCACATCACTATCGTCACCAAAAAATCAAGTGTAGACATTTACTTCTGTCTGATCTTCAGCATGTTCTGAAAATGAGTCATATAGAGTGTAAGGCATTTCAGCTTTGTTAAACACACCAACACTTCTTTCATCCAACCATTTTCTTTACCCACTTTTTTACTTTTAGAATTGTGGGGAGCAAGTGCCCATCTCCAGCAGTCACTGAACATGAGGCAAGAAACACCCTGGACAAGGTGCAAGTCCATTACAGGGACACATAGAGACAAACAAGACAAATAATTATTCACGCTCTCACTCACACCCATGTAGAGCTCCCAATTAACCTAACATGCATGGTTGGTTCCGTGGGAGGAAACCGGAAAACCCAGAGAAAACCAATGCACAGTGACAACTTGCAACTCCACATAGAAAGACCAGAAGGAGAACCTGCATCCTTCTTGCTGTGAGACAACAAAGCTAATCACTTCACTTTCATGTCACCCCTTAGCAGCGTCATTGTACAGATTTTTGTCAGTATTGTGCATGGTCAAGGAAGCAGTATTCTTGGTGCACATAAAAGTAATCTGTGGTTTCAAAAAATTGCCACTCAGAAAGTGGATACATGGTGAAATGGCCACTCAAACATCAGTGAGACTGTAGCTGAAAATGTTTTATTATTATTATTATTATTTTGAGAGATTTTTTTCACTAAACAGTCTCCCAACAGTCACATCTCAGTAAAATAGAGCCTTTAATGTTTACAAGAACAAGAAATAATACAAAGGATACCTACACATATTATTTTGCACAAGGACGGTAAAACAAAAGTAAAAATGAAGGTCAGATGAATATTTATGTTAACCAGTGTTGTTTTATATTGTGGTATTAAAAAAAGTTGACTTCAGTATACAGTAGTCATGAAGAAAACTATAAAACACAGCTGAAAATACTTTACAAGAGTAATATCATCAGAATTACAGTCAGAGCTGAAAACAGTTGGGTGCTTCACAGAAAATGTGTTTAGTGACTTAACATTTGTTTGTTATTTCAAAATGTTGAAGCTGATCTTAACACGCCAGGACCCTAGTTTCAAACCAGGACAGTAAACACTCTTGGATTTTTTTAAAATAAATATTTCTATGACATTAAACAATGATTGACTTCTGGTCATGTGGCTATTTCCCACTTGCTAAATTAAACATAATATACATTAAAAAATACAAAAATAATTCTTTAAAATGGTTATTCTTGTCATTTAGAGTTCTCACTGTTACAAAGAGTAAAAAAGTATTGGTCTTTATTTTCATGTTTTTCTTATAAACCCCAATTAAGCAACATGCAAAATGTACCTATTTCTACATCTTGTGTTGACAGCAGTGACAGTTCAATGCACTGTTTACTTTTTCTTCACTTTTTATCTTTTTGCGGGAAATGCCAGATAATTAATTATTAACTGGTTCTGATTTGAACAAAGCTCTTAACCTTGCTTTCTTGCTGTAGTTTGGTTTCTGACAACATGTGGTTGAGGTGTCTTGGATTTGCTCTTCTTCTGTGGATTCCTGGAGAGCTGCATGGTAAGTGGAATAAATATCTGTTGATGGAGATATCGGAATAGTCTCAGGATATTTTCCCATTGAAATTTACACGTTTTTCCTCTGTATTCAGCTCAAAGTGCACAGAAACCTTGTAGTGCTCCCAGCCTGGACAAAGGGTTTTGTCTCCCTGTGCAGGAATCCTATCCTCATGAAACACACATCACATATGCCTGTGATAATGGATACAAACCTATAGTGGAAGGCTGGTGGGCAACCATCACATGTCAAAATGGTACATGGTCTCATGATCCACAGTGTATTGGTAAGTCTTTTACTAAATCATTTTCAAGTGATTCCATGAGGTTAAAAGAAGGCCTTTTAAATCAAGATATACTGCAATTTTGACTGATTACCTGTAAGCAATTTTAACCAAAAAGAAACATTTTTGTCATTCATCCATCCAGTGTATACATGGAATGACTATACTTCAAAAATACCCCAATAAAAAATACCCTGATAAAGTATTCAACCGTTGATACATTTCTTTAAATGTGTACCTTTAGATCAGGGGTATCAAACTCACTCACAAAAGGGGGCCAAAATTAAAACCTTTTTCAAACTAAGGGCTGGTTTCAGAATCTACATTAATCAAGTTAGATACCCAACATATTTTCTTGGTTGCAGGTTCCTCAAAAAAGAGTTTGATTGGTCTCACTCGATGTTCTCTGTTGTACTTTTGACATCATAATTAAAGATTACTGAAAAAATTCAAGTGAAAAAAGTATTTTACGTTTAACATGTTATCTTGGGGGCCAGAAAAGATGTCGACGAGGGCCACATTTGGCCCCCAGGCCTTGAGGTTGACATATGTGCTTTAGATAAAAATGTAAAAACGCACAGGAGTGTCTTGGTTGTTAGTAATGTGACACAGCACTGGACACACTGGTTTCATGCCAATGCTGCAAACCACTCTAGTGAGAGCTGGCAATCACGGCATAATGATGTCATATGGACCACATCGTCTGCAAATAACATTAGAACCCAAGGGCACCAAACTGGACTCCTATCACCCCACGGCTGCACCAAGAAATTCTGTCCATAAAAGTTACGATTAGAGAACGAGCAACCCTTACTAAGTCTGACTCTGTTGTGTGGGTTGCAAGATTGAATTAAAGTAAAAAAATAAGCAGACACGTGGATCAGCTTTAGTTCTCCTGTTTACTTTCACTTTTCATTTTTTTCATGTCACACTCAGCTTAGTATATTTAAACAACAGTCTTAGACTGCCCTCTAGTGCCCTTTCTATGCAATAATAATCCTACCACAGAACATAACATTTTCCCTTTTCTCTGAAGGAATTACTCACACAATATATAACATTTTCTTGTGTTGTACTTTAGCAAAACACTAGTACATTTTTACTGGTTTTAAAGAACACTTGTAACAGTCTGAACAGCAGTAATTTACATTTTGTTTTCACCTTATTTTACAAAAGCTGTTAACCATCTTGGTGCCTTTCAAGATCTCTGGCTTCTTTTAAATTCAACAGATTCATTAATGTTTCCAGGAAGTGCAAAGGTATCCAGCGCAGTGTCATTGTTTTGTTCTGAGCCAGTTAAAGCTTGTTTTGGGAAGTGTGCAAGTTTTGAAGCATTCCACTTGCATCCGTCGTTTATTAAATATGTGTTTTGTCCATCTTTCTTCATGACAGTCTGTGGTTCTGTAAATCTTGAAGATCCTTTGGGAACGTGGGCAGGTCTGCGAACACAAACAGTGTCACCCACTTTGACTGTTGATGTTTTAGCTCGCATCTTCCTGTCTGTGTATTCCTTAATTTTATTCTGCTTTTGTTTCACCCTCTTTTTGATTTGGGTGTGTGTTTTGCTTTTCAGTGCCACTGGGAGTATGTTTAACGTGGTGCGCATTTTTCTGTTTTTCCATTAACTCAAATGGAGTTGCTCCCATGGTTGCATGAGGAGTAGCTTGGTAGTTGTGCAGGAACTCTGTTACAGCGTCTTTCCATGAGCTGTGACTTCTATCACATGTCTGTATGCAGTCCTTAAGTACTCTGTTAAATCTCTCCACTGCACCATTTGCTTTGGGGTAGTATACACTAGACCTTAAGTGCTGTATCTCCCCCTCTCTCAGAAAGTTAGTAAAGGCTTGAGAAGTAAACTGACAACCGTTATCTGAGACAAGATACATCAAATTACAATCCCTACTGAACTTAGTGGCTAAAAAGCAAATGATGACATCTGTACAGTAGAGGCGACTGCAACCTCAGGCCATTTGCTGTAGTAATCTGTAAGTACAATAGCATATTGGCAGTCCCATGTAGCATTTTCAAATGGGCCTGTAATGTCTATTGCAACTTTTTCCCATGGTTTACTGGGTAATTCAACTGGTGTAAGTGGAGCATGAGCAGTTATAGCTACCTTATCACTGAACTGGCAGTTAACACAGGAAGTAATGACAGAATTTACAAGTTTGTCAAGTTGTGGCCACCAGAACAGTTCACGCAGTCTCTGCTTAGTATGAACTATTCCTTGGTGTCCCTCATGTGCTAAATCAACAACTCTGGTACGTAATGAAACAGGAACAACTAGTCGATCAGTCCCTCTCATTATCAGTGAACCATGAACTGACAGCTCGTCTCGTACCTGAAAATATGAAGTAAGGTTCTCGGGCAGACCTTGTTTGCATTTGGGCCAACCTTTTTGAATCTGGTTGCGCAGCAGTGACAGTTCTGGGCAGGTTTCACTGGAAGTAGTGAACTCTGAAAGAGAAATGGCACACGGTGACTCCTTAAAAACAGCTGCAATCATGTCAGGTTCCTCTGTAGCCTCATTTGCAGCAGGAAGTGGTAGACTGGAAAGGCAGTCAGCAGTGGCGTTTTGATGTCCTGGGCGATAAGTGACATCATATGTGAAGTAGAGCAGTCGAGCTGACCATCTGGCGATCCTCAGTCCAGCACGTCCAGAACCTTTGGAGGTGAGTAAGGTTGTAAGTGCTTGATGATCTGTACGAAGGACAAAGCGACGACCCCAGAGGTAGGGTCTCTACCTTTCCACAGCCCACCCGCAGGCAAGAGCTTGACGTTCAACTGTGGAGTACTTGCGTTCAGCATGAGAAAGTGTTCTGGATGCAAAAGCGACAACTCTCTTACTTTGATATGAATGTAGTTGTGTCAATTCCACGCCCAGTCCATAATCAGAAGCATCAGTATTAACATAAGTTGGCAACTCAAGATCATACAGAGCTAATGCAGGACTATTGATTATCAGTTCTTTAACTGCGGTAAAGCTAGATTCTGCTTCCACTGTCCACTTGAAGTTTAAGTCTGTGGAGTCTCTGAGCACTGCATGAAGTGGCTCAGTAACAGCTGCAAAACCTGGAATGAACTTACTGTACCAAGATGCAAGACCAAGGAAAAATCTCAGAGAAGACGTGTCATGCAGAGCTGGAGCATGGATCACAGCAGTGACTCTGTCCTAGTCCAGTTGAAGACCTTCTTTTGAAATGGTGTGACCCAGGTAGTTGAGTGAAGGTTGATTGAACCTGCATTTTTGCATGTTAAGTTTGAGTCCAGCATCAGTCAGGGCTTGAAGCACTCTCTTTAAATTTTCATCATGTTCTCTTTGTGTAGATCTGTAGCAAATGATGTCATCCAGGTGTGTTTGTACGCCTGGCAAACCTGCAAGGCTGATTGACATAATTTTTTGAAAGGCAAATGGGGCAGATGCTAAGCCAAACGGAACTCTGCAGAAACGAAAAAGTCCATCATGAGTGATAAACGCAGTAATATCACCACTTTCAGGATGCAGAGGCATTTGGTGGTAGGCAGATGTTAAATCAATAGTAGAAAAAACAGTAGCCCCTTGTAGATTTGAGAACAGTTCATCCATATGTGGTAAAGGATGGCAATCAGCAACAACAACTTTATTTGGCTCCCTTAAATCAGCACACACGCGTGGCTTTCCACCATCTCTCCTTTATGTCACGATTATGGAAGAAACCCAAGGCGAAGCATCAATATGTTTAATGATGCCCTTATCTTGGAGATCGTTGAACTCTTCTGAAACAGCTTGTCTCACTGAAAATGGCAGTCTCCTGAGTTTTTGTTGCGCTGGAACAGCATTTGGCAGTATGTGTACTTTGTGTATGAAGTTTTTGGCATAGCCTACTTCCTGAATTGACATTTCTGGAACATTTTCTGGTTCAGTCTTTGGCACAGCAGGTTGAACAGTAGAGGTAGGAGGGGTAATAGTAGTTATAACTTTTCGTCCTTCGAGTTTCATACGTAATGCCTGAAATAAATCTAAGCCTAGGAGAGCAGCACCTGACTCTACCACAACAAGAGTACCTACAGTAGAATAATTATCATGAGAAATAGTAACTTTTAAGCACAGTTTTACAAAAATGTTCTCTTTTGCATAGGTAACAAGAGCTAATGGAGGTTCAGTTAGGGCACATTCTGAGAAGAAGGTGCAGTAATTGTTCTCTGGTATAATGGAAACAGATGAGCCTATATCTACAATCAGCTCAACATCTGTACATTGTCCATTAGCAATCACTTGAACTGTGCAGAGGATCTTGTCTTGTACTGCATTGTTCATGTAAGGAACTGTGGGTTCATTAATGACGACTTCACGTACCTCCTTTTGAGCTGAATGACATACTCGTGAAAAATGTCCCACTTTACCACACTTGTTGCAGGTCACTTTAAAAGCAGGGCATGAAGGTTTGTTAGCAAGGTGATTAGAAGATCCACAACAAAAGCAGGAACGGTTACCAGCAGCTTAAGCCGTGGCAGGAGCAGGATTCGGTGGCAGCTTCTTCTTCATATCCCAGTGACGGCTTGGCTTTGATTGTTTCTGTACGGCCCTCACTGGAGCAGAAGCGCCAGCAGCAGTAGCATCAGAGAGAACGTTAACATCCCTTAATCCACGTTAAATTTGCAACGCCAATGTAGTAGCTTTAGCAAGCGTTAGGTCTGGTTCAAGTAATAATCCGTCTCTTATGCGAGTGTTAGCAACACGCTCGATCAGTTGATCACATAGCATTTGTTCCTCCATGTTTCCAAAATCACATGCAACAGCTAACTCACATAGATAATCTAAGAATTGGTTTACCATCTCATTGGGCCTCTCTGCTCTTTGTCGAAACTTGTGACGTTCAGTAATGACTTCACCTTCGGCACGAACTGTTCTTTTAGAGCGGCAATAGCAGCAACAAACATGTCTCTAGTGTTCGGCAGGGTGTAGAAAAGCCGTTGAGCCTCCGTACCCAAGGCATGAAGTAGAACCGCGTGCCTTCTTTCATCAGGCCAGCCACCTCCCACGCTGCGATCACCAATATGTAGTTTTCAAACATTTTTAACCATGTTGTAAATGATATTGCTTGTTCCCCTGGTCATGGCAGAAATAGAGCAGGTAAAGGCACAGAAATAGATATCCTTGTCGCCAATGTTGTGTGGGTTGCAAGACTGAATAAAGTAAAATTAAGCAGACACGTGGATCAGCTTTAGTTCTCCTGTTTACTTTCACTTTTCGTTTTCTTCATCGTGACACTCAGCACAGTACATTTTAACAACAGTCTTAGACCGCCCTCTAGTGTCCTTTCTATGCAATAACAATCCTACCACAGAACATAACAATCTCTAACCCTGAAGTGCTGTGTTGTCATCATTGTATGTTCCCATGCAATGATGAAATTGGTTCTCTGCTTAACCCGTCACACCTGAGAAATTCCCAGGTGGAGCAGTGAGCAGCTAAGCATCTGGGAAGCAATTAGGGATCAGGTGTCTTGCTCAAGGACACTGCGTCATGTGGTAAATATTGATAAATAAGATAAATAAATGTTAACAAAACAATACTCCAAGTTTGGGTCTACTGATTCTGTCCAGCATTTTCCTCCACAGTCTGATCCAACTCACCATCAGGTGGCAATCAGTTAACAGCACATCTTCACCCAAGTGTCCAAAACATAAGGCCACAGATTAAGTCTACCATCTACCTGCAGTCTAAGGTGTCTTGGAGCCATGTGCACTCCTGCACACCCTTTTGATTGAACATGGCATTCATTATAAACAAGCCACGATTTACACAAAAGTCCAACAACAAAACATGTTATATATTACACATATGTACCAGTACAGTAGACCCTCGCTACGTCACGGTTCGTTTATTGCGGATTTGCTATATTGAGGATTTTCAAAGTAAGATTGGATATAACACAATTGACTGATTGATGGATGAGCCATGAGTTGTTTATTTAAAACAAATTCTTTGAAATGATTTTGCACCATGTGTGCAGCCCAAAAGTGCAAGGGAAAGCTCCCTCTTGCAGCAGATCATGATCTCCTCTGCCAAGCACACACATTTCTCCTGCATCGACTTTTTGAAGGGTTAACCCTTTGCTGTCCAGATGCACCGATGGACTTTTGTCTTCCAATTTAAAATTCAAAGTCTGTCACATCGTCAAATCATCGTCATCACAAAATGTAAAAGTGTTAAAAGTTTTTTTTAATTATTTTAGAACTTGATGTTCAGTCGTTTCAGTGTAATTGATCAAGAAGTACATTTCTGCCCCGTTCTGTAGAGCTGAAGCTGTGTGACATCCTTTGATGTCCTGCTGCACTTCTCTTCTCTACAATTTTAATTTAGATACAGAAATATTTTTAATAAACAATTCATGCTGTATGGATTGCTTATTTAAAATGTTACAGTATTTAAATTTAAATAGTTTATTTAAGGAGGGAGATGGGGAGTAACAGGTGAGGAGTATGATTGCAGCCTGGCACATGTCGAGACAAAGTTTTTCTGAACTTGAACTGAACTTGAACTTGGACTATTTTATCCCTACTTTGCGGTTGTTCACTCATCGCTGGTGGCATAGTCCCAAACACCCACGATAATTGAGGGACTACTGTGCATCAAAATTATAGGACTTCTCCCCAAACCATTCTACCATGTACGTCGCCATAGTTTACATATTTTCAGCACCTTCTGCTGTTTCTGTAGGTAAACCGAGATTGTGTAGAGGCAGGGCAGCCGGCTTGGAACCCGAAAGTCCCAGGTTCGATCCCCAGTCACTGCACATCACGTGGCGTCTCTGGGCAGCACATCTCATCCCCAAAATGTCCCCCGGGCGCTTTCAATAGCTGCCCACTGCACCACCTGGTGGTGGATGGGTTAAATGCAGAGACTAATTTCGCCATTGTATGGAAACATACAGTGCTGACATTGTGATGACATTATTATTATTATTAAACAAAGGCATGTGTTAGATAGTATGTGGTCACAAGTTTTGCTTGCAGCTTCTTCTTTTTTTTTATATTTGTTTTAACAAAAAGGAAAAAATATTTTACAGATTGGAATGAACACTCTTTTTTTTTTTTTTTTCAAAATTCAGCTTATTATTATTATTATTATTATTATTATTATTATTATTATTATTATTATTGTGCTTATAGCAAGTTGTAACTTTGTTCAAAATATCACCCTAAATTTGTGTCAAAATGCTAGCATGCTACATCTGCTGATTATGTGAAGCCTTTACAAATGTGTAGGTTGACTTAAAATGAAAATTAAAAAAAAAAAAATTCTATTGTTTTTCAAACGTGGGTTTGTCTTAACTTCTGTCTTATGACATGATGTTTTTTTTAAACTCATACAAGTTTTTTTCTTCCTCAGACGAAACAGCCTGCGTTTCACCAACAATTCCCAATGCAAAGAATATCCAAAGCTCAAGTGTTATTTATAAAAATGGACAAATATTTGAAATAAAATGTAACAAAGGATATGTATCCAAAAAACAGCAAAACTCACCTCAGTGTAAAAATGGAACATGGATCTCTGTGCCTATCTGTGAAAGTAAGTTTGTTATTTATATAGCGTCTGGTATAGCATATTTTTCTCTTCTTACTTTTCCCTCCTTATTTTTAGAAAGTCCAACAGCATGCAGAGAACCACCCAATATTCCCAATGCGGTCATCATTCATCAGAAACACCAGGAGGTGTTTGATATGGGTTCAGAAGTGGAGTATCAGTGTAGAGATGGATATGTTACACAGGATAAAAACACAAAGAAATCCATCTCTTGTAATAATGGAACCTGGACTGAAGGCCCATTGTGCAGTAAGTGAGCAATGTGCTGGGCTATGAAGTAAAATTGCTTCTGTTTAAAGCTATTCACATGTATGGTACTTAAAAGAACAGCAATGGGAATTCTAACCCAAGAATCTTGTTACATTTTGTAAAATCATACCACAAATACAACTGGAGTTCACGAAATGTTATAACAAATTATAAGTTGTAGTTCAAGGATACTCTGCTAATTCCAGATCAAAAATCAACCAAATCAGTAAAGTTTCTAATGTCAAGGAGGCTATCCAACACATGGAGACCAAGAAAACATTTTTTTAATGACAGTAAATTTTGCATATAGTCTAAATCTATAATTACTCAGACCCTTGTTTAGTTGTTATCCAAACATATACTGAGTATGAATTCAAATCCAGATCTCCATGGTGTAATCATTTTGATTTACAGTGATAATTTTTGTGTTATTTTCTTCTCAATCAATTCCACTGTGCTAATAATAAAGTTTGTCAATGAGAATATTAAATTAATTGAGGTCTAGGATGTGTTATTTTAGTGTTCCCTTTAATTTTGTGAGCAGTGTATTTAACTTTTAGCTGTAGTATGAATATGGTCCAAAAATGCAGATTATAATCCTATAAAATTTCAGCCCAACGATTTTTGACTTATTTTGTAATAATGTAGAATAAAAAAATGCTCACTCTCCCAGTTGTTCAACCTGTGCTTTACCTCTGATGATCTCATTCCTAATCTTATCCATCCTTGTCACTCCTAAGGAGAACCTCAACATCTTCATTTCTGCCACTTCCACTTCTTTCTCCTGTCTTTTTGTCCATGTCTCTGTCTCCAGACCATACAACATAGCTGGTCACACCACTGTCTTGTAAACTTTTCCTTTGACCTTTGCTGACACCTTTTTGTCGCAAATCACTCCTGAAACTTTTCTCCATCCACTCCATCCACTCCATCCTGCCTGGACTCTCTTCTTCACCTCTTTACCACACTCCCCATTTTCCTGGACAGTGGAACACAAGTTGTCGTGATTGTTGTGTTGGTTTTTAAAGGTAGAACCCAAGGATGCAAGCAGGACTGGGTAGACTCGGTGGTAAAATAAGAAGACACTTTTAATAACACAAAAATAAACGGCTGCCGAGGGAGCAAAACGTACATGTAGAAAATCACAAGGAGGCACTCAGGAAAACACCAGGGACTCGGGAGGATTACCAGGAGAATACAAGACGATGCCCAGACAAGGAATAGCACTAAGACACAGACTTATATACAAACACTGATGAGGACAAAACACCTGTCAGGCTCACAGGTGTGGGAAAAGGGAAATCACACGAGAGGAAACAGGACAGAGACACACCACTAGGGGCAATATCACCACACAAGTACTTGAAGTCCTGCACCTTTGTGACCTCTGCTCCTTGTAGCCTCACTGTTCCACCTCCTCCCTCTCATTCACACACATGTACTCTGTCTTACTACGACTGACTTTAATTCCTCTTCTTTCAAGTACATGCCTCCATTTCTCTAAATTATCTTCCACCTGTTACCTGTTCTCACCACAGATTACAATGTCATCTGCAAACATCATAGTCCATGGGAATTCCTGCCAGGGATTCCAGTATGGACCTGTCAGTCCATCACCAGAGCAAACAAGAAGGGGGCTCAGAGCCGATCCTTGATGCACTCCCACCTCCACCTTGAAGCTGAATCTGAATCCTTGAATCTGTCACTCCTACAGCACATCTCACCATTGTCCTGCTGTCCTCATACATGTCCTGTACCAGTCTAACATACGTCTCTGCCCCTCCATTATTCCTCATGCAATACCACACCTCCTCCCTCGGCACCCTGTCATATGCTTTTTCTAAATCCACAAAGACACAAAGAAGTTTTTGTCTGACCCTCTCTGAACTTCTCCTTCAGCATCTTCAAAGCAAAGATGTCATCTGTGGTGCTCGTTCTTGGCATGAAACCATACTACTGCTCACAAATTGTCACGTCTTGCTTCCACAACTCTCTCCCAGATCTTCATCGTGTGGTTCATCAACTTAATTCCCCTGTAGTTGCTACAACTCTGTACATCACCCTTGGTCTTAAAAATGGGCACCAGCACACTTCTTCTCCATTCCTCAGGCATTTTCTCACCCTCAAATATGCCATTGAATATATGAGTCAAAAACCTCACTGCCATCCCTCCAAGACATTTCCAAACCTCCACTGGTATATCATCATGTCCTACTGCCTTCCCTTCTTCATTCTTGTCAGAGCTTTCTGGATTTCACCCTCACTAATCTTTCCCACTTCCTGGTCCACAGTTTCTATGATCTCTACTCTTCTTTCTCTTTTATCCTTTTATTCATTAGCTTCTCAAAATACTCCTTCCATCTTCCCAGCCCACTCTAAACTTTAGCTCTCACGCTTGTTAGAACAAACATGGAGTGGTTTGTTACATCACACCAGCTGAAGTTGACCCACTACACTATCACTGTAAAATGTGTTTTAGATAATATAAACTTTGCTTAAAAAAAACTAACATATTGTGCAGTGAGTTGAACATCCCCATAAAGCTGTACTAAGAATCACTTAAAACCATTTTATCAGTCCAGTTATACATCTACACATCTGACAAAAGACAGCTCTACATATTTAGAAAAACATATATTTTAAAAACTCTTTAACATTACTATATTACAGAAACAAAGCTAAAGTAAAAGAGCAAAATATATATATTTGAAAGCTAGGAGAAGTCATGCTTAGAATTTTACTTTTATGACTTGATCTTTAGATAACAAAACTCATTTTGAAATAATAAAGATACTTTATCAGAAATCAGGACAGCACTGAAATTGGAACAATCATCATTAATCAACACATCTAGCTTATCTCTAAGTGTCGTGATAGTGACAGAGTGCTGACTAACATAAATAATTTTTGCAACAAAAATTGCGTTCTTGAGAAAAAAGGCTGCTTTTTGTAAATGAGATAAAAATAGTTTAGTTATTTAAAAATACTACAATAGTTAGTCCTGATCATGAAAAAAAATTCTTCATATAATAAAACATCAGTCTAACAGATGCTTCTGCTTTGTCTTCCAGAACCTCCTTCCAGCTCCATGTCTGATGAAGACGACATTAAACCTCCTTTTGTACCAAGTAAATATACAAATCTGTGTTTTATTTGCATCTAATTTGCCGTTAAGTATTTAAATCAAACAGAGGCCTTCTTTATTGGCATTTCTTTCGAGTAGCTGCAGGTCACAGAGCAAAGTCAAGCTCATGTCTCATTTATTAGTGAATCAGACCTCTCTGAGGAGAAACTGTGAGCTGAAAATGTTACACTTAATATTGTAAGGATTCACAATGGGGACCTGGAAATTCAACCACAACACAGTTGAATGAAGAGGTTTATTTACTACTTAAGAAAAGGGGGCCCCAGAAGGACGTGAGCTGCAACTCTGCAGGTTTGTGACTGAGATAATCTTGAGACTGAGAACGTGAGGGGCTCAGAACTAACCTGCAGAGTTTGATCACGGGTCGTGATGCAGCGGCTGCGATGGCATCAGAGGAGTGGAGGCTCACTTTACCGCGGTTTCCTCTTCAGCTCGTGGAGCTTGGTTCTGAAAACTCACAACTCCTAGAGTCTGGGGTCTGAGATTGTGGTCAAGATACAGGTTGGGTTATTCACAGAGAGGCAGAAAAGGCAACACTTATCACAGGGGTTTAGCAAGAGTCAGTGGTCAGTAGGCAGAGCGAGAGTCGAGGTCCAGAAATGCGATGGGCAGAAGTTATCCGTCGTGGGTAAGGCAAAAGCAAGGAATCCGTGGTCATGAAGAGCGTCGATAAACAGAGAGAACAGAACTGGATTTCTTCAGGCACAAGGCGATCAGATAATCTGATGCCAGGTGCACTGAAGCATGACTTGACATGAACGTGAATCATTACAAATATATTTGATTTTTTTTTAAATTAAAAGCTTTTTTTTTTCATTTTCAGTCGAGAATTGTGGAAAAGTCCCTCAAGTCCCAAATGGTGAACAAGACAAACATGAAAACATTCATCTGAAGTACACCTGTGGATACTTTTATAAGTTGGAGGGTCCAGAGATTGTGGTGTGTCAGAGTAACGGAGAGTGGTCTGAAATCCCCACCTGCAGAGGTAAGAGCAAGTCAACACTAACAGTTTTTATTTTAGTAATTTATCTAATCCAATGAGAAAATGTTTTATTAATTTATTTTGTACAGATGATTTTTGCGAGATCAACACTGCAGAACATCCTGACCTGATAAATGTTGGAGTTAAATCCATCAAAAATGGCAAGACAGAGCAGATGAAGTGCAAAGACGTATATGTTTTTCCAAATTATTCTGTGGTCAAGTGCAATAATGGAAAACTGGAGAAGAGCGCATGTAAGTAACATTTTAAGATTATTTATATAAGTCGCTCTTAAGAGAAACTGTTTCTCTTAGTTTTGACAAAAAAGGGTGAACTCCTGTCATCTGGACAGTTTTAACTTGTTTTTGTGACCTGGATGATTGAGCTTTCAAACCTTTCTCTTAGTTTCAACCTGTTTTTGTGTGTTTCTTGTGTAACAACAGAGCAACATTTTGTATAACTACGCATGTGAGACATTTTAGAACAATATTTTATGTCTTTATCAGTGTTTTTCAGCTGGAAAAACAGACAAATTCAGTGCAGTTAAACATCACAAGGAGCAGCTGTAGAGACATCACTTTAAATTTCTGCTGATTTCACCAGAACAATATTGGTTAACTTTTTGGTACCATACAGTGTGATCCCACAGTTGTTATACTAACGGTGGTCAGATTAGGTTCAGTTTGCTTCTGGATTACGAGCGAGTTGTCACCTCGCTTACTGAACAGTCTTCCTACTTCCCACCAGGTCTCTGGTGGAATTGAAGCTGAGCAACTTTGAGAAAAGGAAGAAATTCCTAAATTACAATGACGATAAGATGAACAAACAAATGTAACAAAACAATAAAATATAAATGAAACATAGACCAAATAATACCATTAATACTAACTCATGTGGTAAATCAATCATGATATGACAGAAACAAAGCTGTTTTATTATTTTTCACGTTAATATAATTGAATCTAACCAGGTTGAGTTAGGTCCTCTGGACGGATTATTCTTTGTTGAAACATTTAATTTTTTATCCAAAAGATTTCTTCGGGCTGAGGTGCCTCAGACCAAAGAAATCATCTGAATCCATCCAGATGACTTGATTCAACCTTGTTAGATTTATCTACCTGGATTATTGAGCAGCATCAGGACAGCCACCTGTTATTATCCACCTGAAACGCGTCTTACTCTACCTTCAACTTTAATGTGGTCTGATCCACAATGTGTACCCTCACAAGTCTTAATAATAATAATAATAATAATAATAATAATAATAATAATAATAAACTTTATTTATATAGCACTTCCAACGCCTTGCATTGACCAACGTGCTTTACAAAATAATGCAAATAAAACCAGTGCACAATAAATCAGAGCAAATTAAAACACAGCCATCATAAAAGGAAGTAAAGGAGATGAAAAATACTGAATACTGAAACATCCAAAGCCCTTTTAAATAAATGGGTCTTCAATTTGGCTTTGAACAGAACCAGATCAGAGATGGCACGCAGCTCATGGGGAAGAGTATTCCAGGCTGTTGGGCCTGCAACAGAAAACGACCGGTCCCCCCATTGTTTGCACCTTGATGGAGGCGCCTCCAGCAGATTTTGACCGGCAGACCGTAAAGCTCTGCTGGGCTGGTGGACTTTCAAAAGTTCTGAAATATAGAGCGGTGCAAGGCCATTCAAAGCTTTAAAAACAAACAGCAGCAGCTTGAACTATCCTAAACTGAACCGGGAGCCAGTGTAAAGATGAAAAGACAGGAGTGATTCGTTCATGCGTAAGTGTGTTAGTCAACAAGCGAGCGGCAGAGTTTTGTACAAGCTGTAAACGGTAGATAGAAGACTGATTAATTCTCACATGTAAGGCGTTACAGTAATCGAGCCTAGAGCTCACAAAGGCATGGATGGCCTTCTCCAGATCACTACGGCTAAGGAGTGACTTTACTTTAGAAAACAGACGGAGCTGAAAGAAACTTGCTTTCACGACAGAACTGATCTGTTTATCTAACTTTAAGTTACTGTACAGTCGAGCTCCACTCCTAGATTTTATTACTACCTGGTTGGAGTGGGGGAGCGGAAAACCTACATTGGGAGAGATGTTACAAGAATTACCAGAAGCACCAAATAAAATCCATTCAGTTTTATCATTATTTAAGAGGAGAAAATTTTGATGCAGCTGATAATAGAGTTTAGGCTGAGTGAGGAATTGTGAGTGACCAGCAGATAGATTTGCAGATCATCTGCATACAAATGAAAAGACAAGTTATGGCGTGCAATGATAGGTCCTAATGGCAGCATGTAAAGTGAGAAGAGAACAGGCCCCAGAATGAATCCCTGAGGTACACCAGAGGTCAGAGTGTTAAACCACAATGACCGGCTCGACACCATGATGTGTGCTATTACTTTTATTGGTGTTTCAAGTTACCACGACGGCATAATTTGCAAACAAAGACGCAATTTTTCTCATTGAAAAACTGACTAAACTCTGAACAGCTAACTTCCACAGTGACGCATAGAACGAAGAGGTCTCTGAACAAAACGTTGACTAACTTTTGAAGCCATTTTGGATCAAGATGGCTGCCACAGCTACCTCAGAAAACTCAAAATTGACTATAACGCTGTCATTCTTTGAGATACTGAGCTGAAATTTACATGGTTGTAGCTGAGAGCTAGTTGCTATACATTCCTAATGTAAATTGAAAATCCAAGATGGCTACCTTAGCACAAAGGGAAAACAAATGATAACTCAGCTATTTTAAAAGATATTGAGTTGAAGTTCAGCACGGTGGTACCTGACAGCGATGCACAACACATTCTGAATTCAAATCTAAAAATGCAAGATGGCCACAAATGGATATAACTCAGAGGTTTGTAGAGCTATTCAGCTGAAATTTGGTGTACTAGTACCTGAGAACAATCCCTAATAGACTCTGATTGCAAATCAAAAATCCAAGATGGTTGCCGGAGATAAAAAGGAAAAATACTACAAATCGACCATTTTTAGAGATATTACCCGTACGCTGAAATTTCGTATGGTGGTAGGTAACTGAGAGCAAACCCCAACACATAGAGCAGAGTCCGAGTTTTTTTATTGTCATATGCACCACATGTGGTACATGTGATGGAAAGAGATTATGTACACAAGGTCATAGTACTGTAGTACATAGTACATAGTATAGTACATAGTACTGTCAAATCAAAAATTTGAAATGGCCGCAACATGGAAGTCCCAGTCAAAGTTTCTCCAGGAACTTTCTAGTTGAAACTGTTATTTCAAATAACACATTAAAGATGATAAAACAAACTAGTCTACACAGTCAGAAAATCAGTCTTTGTCCGCCAGAAATATCATTTAAATTTATATTGTGCTTTTTAAAAAATTTTTAATTTACTTTTCACAGGTTGTAACACCTTCCAAATCAACACGGTGAGTGTTCTCTGTTAAAGAAATGTGTTATAATATTGTTTCCATCTTATCTGGATGCATCTTCATTGAATCACTACTAATGTTTTTTTACATGTACTATACATATTTTTTATTTAAACTAATTGTTTGCTGTTACTGAAACCTGTTTTGAACCAGGGTGTCCGAGGCTGCAACAAATAGAAGATGCTTCCGACTTCCATTGTTGGACAGAACATGACGACTCTCGCACACTGTTAGGTGTTTGTTGTTGTTGATTTGTTTAACCAATAAAGATCTACAGTTTGAAAAGTAAACAAAATCCACAAGTTTACTTTAAAATTAGCAAAGTTCTGTTCAGTCTCTTTTAAAGAACTCAACTTTGATGGTTATAAGCTGCCGCCAAAGGCACATCGATAATGTTTCTGTATGTGTTGTTTGTTTGTATCGTTAGCAAAATACATCATGAATCATAAAAAGGATTGGAATTAAACTTTTAGAAAGTAATTATTGGATGTCCCTCTAGAACTAATTAACTTTTGGACTCAAGCCAATGAAAAATGGCTGCTACAGTAAACTGACCTTCACAAACACAGAAACGACTGTACGTCAGTCCATTTTACTGACACTGAGCTAAAGTGGTGTATGTTAAATGCTGCATGCCACATGATTGTGCTTAAAACTTTTATATTAAATGTTGATGTTAGTCATCTTTGCTTATTAGCAATAATTCTCATGGACCACTGGTTGAACTGTAGTGAAACTTTCAGAAAATTTCTATTGGATGGACTCGGAACAGTTAATAAATTGTACATGTACACATCTATGACAGAATAACTCTTGGAGTCACCAAAACATTTATCAACTGATAAAGTCCAACGGATGGGAAGCGAAACGTCTTCAGCTTCAGAATAGAAGTTCGATTCTTTTGGTTTTTTTTATATATTTTTTGTTTGTTTGTTTTGTTTTGTTTTACCACGACCCGGACGACTGAGAATCTTCACTAGCAACTTTTGGAGTCATTCCAATTCAAGATGGCTGCCACAGCAGAGCAATCACAGCAAACACAAATGTGGCCATACCTCAGCCAAATTTACAGATATAGTAGAAGCTGAGAGTCATTCACAACACATGAAAACACAATGCAGGATAGTGTACACAACAATAATTTCAAGGTTAAACCAAAACAGATCAAATTTATTATTTTTTCAACATAAGATAATGTAAGTTGAAAATGATGATACTATTGGTGTTAGGCAATATGAATTCATTCAAGTCTTTAAATGTATTTATTTTAAACAAAAGGTTATTGTACACATGCATTTTGAAACATTATAGAAATTCATAACACTCATATGAAAAAAAACAAATTGTTTTTTAATACAAAGTTAAACAGAAATGATCTTTGTGGAACATGTTGCAGACAAGTGTCATCATCTGTAAAGGCCTGTCTGACTTCAGCTTAGATCCTGAACCTTGACAGAAAACATTTATAATGCCAATAATAAATCGAAGTTAATTTATAAAAACAGCTAATAGCAACTTTTTTAAAAGTGAAAATATTGGATCATTTTGTTCATCATAATTGTCTGTTGTCCTTTAGCCAACCTGTTAAAAAGCTAGAAGGTTGATAAAATTGGTATAAAAATAGAAAAAAAAACATATCTGCTTTTGGAAGTTAGAAGATCCATTCAACCAGTCATGTTTAGTCACTGGCTGTGATTTTTTTTTTTTTTTTTTTTTTTTTATAATTGCAGTATTTTATTTATTTATAGGGGGGATGGGGGGTTAGGTTACTAAATCTATTTTTAAAGTCAATCATCAGTGAGTGTGATCAGTGCTGGAGATGGTTTGGACAGAGGAAGTAGAGTCCAGGCCCAGCAGTGTACCCAGGTAAGATTGTTCTCGAGGGTCCAGGATCTGGTCAGACCTCACAGGGTGGACGATGTTAGCAGGCTGAGGGGTCAGGGTGTACTTCTCTAAGAAAGCCAGATCTGTTGCAGCTTGATATCCAGAGTTTGAATGTCCTTGAGTTTGAATGTTAACAATATTGTGAGTCTGCGAGGAGTGAGACACTGTCCTGTGGGAGTGCAAGTTCCCTTGTGCTCCTCCTGCCATGGGGACGGGGACTAAAGTGACGGGTACACAGATGTTGGTTGGGTCAGAAGTGCTCTGTGGGGCTGATTTAGTTTCTGTGGTGAATGTCTTTGTGTTTTCCTCAAAAGGAATGGGGACTACTTTGTCCTCGACGAGGGGTGGCTCAGTAAACCGAGCGCTGTGCACATGATCCACGTGGTACTTGAGTTTGTCTTTTCTCTTAAAGGTGGCGTTGCAGTGCGGACAGCTAAAAGGCCGAGCGTCCGAGTGAATCACCATATGCTTTGTTAGGGTCTTCTTGATTCGAAACGTCTGATGGCACTCTGGGCATTTGTGGGGTTTCTCACCTGCAACACAAAACATACCTTCATGTGTTCAGTTCTGTTGCACCTTTGCCTTGAAGAATCACTTTGCCTGAACACTGCTGAGACAAAATCAAATCTTTCCAAGCTAAAACAAGGTAGACTAATGAAGACCAGACTGAGTTTCTACAAAGTTAATAGGCTGATACTTTTGCAAATCCCCTTTACCAAACCAAATGAAAAAAAAGTACAAAGGTTATTATACTTAGTTGCAGATGTGTAGATGAACAGATGCTGGGATATATTCATCATTTAACGCGGGTTCCTCATTTTTCTGGACTGAATAAAACGTGCATTGAATTTAAGGAAATGCAAACGTGAGACGTCATTTAGATTTGACCCATCAAAATGAATGCGGTCATTTATTTACAGAATCAAATTTAACATCAAACATGTACATTAATTTGGCAAATTATGAAAATAACAACAAAGCAATCAATCAGGAAAAATCATACGGCCATGATTTTTCCGTTGCTGCACCAAACATTTATAAAACTGTACAACTATGATCTTTTACCCACACGGATGTGAATAAGCACTTTACACAGACATTTCTAAATATCTGGGAGAATTTCTACTTGATAGAAAGTTAAAGATGAAAGAAGTTAAAGGGAGTAAGATTGAATGGGAAGGGAGGAATGTTCACCAGAACCGACACTCTCCATCAGAAGCCCAGCTCTCCTTCGGTACGCTTGGTAGGAAACTTGATCCATTACCTTTCTGAAGATTTATCAGCAGATATGGAATTCCGTTAACGCTACCTGTCCAGCGTCTCCTGATGGTGGCTGTAGCTCGTCAGAAGTAGTGGCTAGTGAAAGTTATAATCCCATGGAACTCGGAAGAGCCTTTTGTCATGTCAAGATCATCCCGTCTCTAACAGAACTTGAGCAGAACCAGCAGAAAACTCTCCAGCACTCCAGCAACTTCAGAACTCCAGAACTCTGAACTCTGAGAACTCCGAAAACTCTAGAAGTCTGACAACTCTCCAACTCTGTGTAGACCAGGAAGTACTGACATTTTAAAGACTCTTTCCCGGTTCACTTTTTGGGATTTGTTCATTGGTCAGAATCGACCAGAAGGGGTGTGTTTTTGTGACGTAAGAGGTTAGAGACAGCGAGAATTGTTATGAGACAGGTCAGAAATGTTCTCACAGACCGAGAGGGTTTTGTTTTGGCGTGTTTAAGAAACAGGTGCAAAACATCTCTATTTACGTCTGAGAGGATTCTAAAACATGACAGTTTTAACATAACAACTTGTTTTTCGTTTGACTGTAACCTTGTAAACGCACACACTTGCTCATTCAAAAGCAGAAATCAGAAAAATGCATAATTACTCTGCAACAGCTTTTAACATGAGTTCTAACTTTTGCATGAGAATAAAAACCATTACTCAGTTAATAAAATTGATTAGTTCACTGCAACATCTAAAATGGTTTGAACTAAGACACTTTGATTATCAACATTTGAACAATAGTAATGATAATAAAACAGAGAGTGTTCTTTTCACTTGAATCTTCAAGAGAGAAAGTCTCAGGATGGGTGAACCTGTATTTCTGAGTTCAAATGAATGAAATGACAGTTCCTGTCCCACAAGGTTCTTAAGGTCAAGAGTTTTGACCTTAGACTTAGTTTCGACGTAGGCCTAGTCCACTACAGTCCCCCCTTTGGAAATCATCACCTGTCCATGGGGATGAATTCCAACTATGGACTTACGCCGTCGATTGTCCTTGAAGCTTGATGTAATCCAGCAAAGAAACAAGAGTCAAGAGTAATCCAGCAAGGAAAACAAAAGTCAAAAGTAATCCAGCAAGGAAAACAAAAGTCAAGGTAATCCAGCAAGGAAAACAAAAGTCAAGGTAATCCCACAATGTTCTCGGTAATTCCATTGTGTTGATTATAATTCCATATCGTCTCGATAATTCCATTGTAGCAATGCTTTAACCCCTTGGAAACAGAGTCTGTAATCCACTGGAAAAAGTCATATAATCCACAATGGTAAATCCACAACGATTGGAAGTGTTGATTAATCAGCATACAGAGGGGTACCCTTGGGTTGAACTGAAGAAGCGGCCACTGGATGAAGAGTGGAGACCAACGTCAGGATTGCAGGTCGCCTCCAGCTAAGGTTGTCTCCAGCGACGTCCAGCCTGTGTCGTTCTGGTTCAAATGTGTCATGCAATTATGTGGTTTAAGGTGGGCTTATGAAGGGGATTTTACATAAGGCCTTAAACTATATGCACCTGGTGTGTAAGCTATTATGGTTGGGAACAGCTACGACTACCAGTTAAGGGGTGGAGCATGCTGAAAAGGGGTAACTACAGGGGTTTAAGCCTATAGAAAAGGGTTCCAAACTACTTTTCCATTTCTAACTTGGGTTAAGTTAGCTTTACATGGCAAAATATAGTTTGGTTCAAATGTCTGTTGTCTTTTAGACGAACGACTTGAGATTGGGTGTTTGGTTTCCCCATAAATGTTTTGGAAGTCTATGGCGAGACTTATCAAAAAGAATTAGCTATCCCCCCGAATAGAATTGTTCGAGTAGGTTCGGCTTAAGCGATGTGAGACCAATGTAGATTATGGTACTTAAGGTAACAATAATATACATTGACTCCGCAAGGATTGCAATTTAGCGAATGAACTGCATGTTGGCATGGTTAAAGGCCTCTTAGTCTCTAACTTAACTTACACACAAGATACATTCTTACCTCAGAAACAACCAAAATCAACTAAACAACGTTTCAACACCGACAAGAGTAGTGACTAAGCATCTAGAAACATCGTTTCACTGCTCCTCCTCACCCTGGTTGTCAGTTTCAGTCACGTTGTCCCGTGTGAGTGGCTTCTTTGCGGACCCGCTTACGCGAGGCATAATCATATCGAGGTGCGCTGCTTGGCGATCCACGTCGACTCGGAGTGACGTTTGGCCCCGGAACAGGGATGCGAGTATCCCACACAATACGAGGGTTATCGTCATTAGCAGGGCTATGATTAATGTGTCCGCGCTCGACCACGCATAGTTAATTGGTTGGATCGGGTTCTTAATTGTGGACCTGAGGGACTTGAGAACTCGGTTTATTGGTTCCACGTCGACGACTTGGGTGCCTTCAAAACGGATCCTTCCCAGAGTCTCTGGATCTATGTCTATAGACATATTTCCCAGGTACTCTGAGTCATCCAGAGTCGCGTCCCATCGTTCCGGATCGAGGTGATAGAGCGTCAAATCACCAATGTGTATGGTTGTTCCCTGGGGAACACTGATCCACATCGTTTTGTCCGTTTATTGCATAAATACAGACAACTCTGGCTCCTTGAAGACAAATACAGGTCAGTTTCTTTGACCTGAATGTTTCTTTTTATCGTTAACTGAATGTGAATGTAGTAAATTTAATGGATTCATTCATTCATTCAACCTTTATTTAAACAGATAAATCACATTGAGTCTTGAAGACTCATTTACAAGTGAGACCTGTTTGAACAGACAATAAGTGGTGAAAGTGACAACATAGGTTTTGGAGGTAAAGAAAAAAAAATCCTAACATGCTCTTAATCTTTGGCTGAAGATTAAAAGCATGAAAATGAAAAAAACCTTGCACACAAGTACATAATGATGACGACATTCCACGGGGGTGTGAAAGGGTCAGACAGAGGCACTGCAAGAGTTCCGATAAGGGTGGTAAATCGCTCAAGTTCACATAGTTCCCTCTGGAGATATCCGTACACTCTCAGGGGGTGCTGAGGACGGACAAGGACAACGTCAGATACCATCCAAAGAGTTTTGAAATGATGATAGAATGTTTATTCAGCCGGGCCCCTCTGATTGGTCCGTAAACTTCCTTGGTGGGAGAGGGGGGGAAGGGGCAGAGCATCAAGGTTTACAGAGCTTCCAGGCGAATTAAGATAAGGTGGCCTGTCAAGGCCAGTCGTGGAGTAGAATTCAGATAAACACGATTGTTGTGGGGACAGGCAGAACTTTACTGATTATGTCTACTGTCTATTGGTCCTCTCGGTTCCGAAACATCCAAATTAAATGGCCACACCAATGGACCGTGCCTGAGAGTAATCCCCGAGATCTGATCCATCCTGCCAAAAGCATTTGAGTCTGGGTGCTTGAGGCATGAACCAAGCCATCATAAGGCAGGCAGCCTGACCAGGGCCAAATTTGCTGCTGACGACTTCCTTGTTTGTTGATAGACCAGGAACCAGCCGAATCCAAAAAGCAGGAAACCAGTTATCATAAATCCAATGATATATGTGTCCTTAACATCCACGATTGACAGCAGAGACAAACACATCATCAAGTCTTCCAAGTCGATGAGATAACCAGCTGTGTGCATGCCAACAGGGCAAATTGGCTCGCCTAAAGCCTGTCTTCTCTTCAAAGAAAGGTTATCAATTGCGTTGAGGGACCAACTGATCAAATCCATAGCAGAATTATGATTCGGAAGAGTTGTAGAAGAGAGGCTCTAAAGCAGTTTCACAGACAGGACAGAGCAGAGCAAAGCAAAGTGGAGAGGGAGAGGAGGAGAAGACGTCCGCCCTTGACAAGAGCAAGTGTTGAATGAATGAATGAATGAATGAATGAATGAATGAATGAATGAATGAATGAACAGTGTACACAACACTTTGTCTAGTGATGATTCATATGTGTATGAAGTTTCATTATATTGAGCCGATCAAATGTTATGATTCAGACAAGCAAATACTTTATTTTAACTTTGACCATTATTTGTGACTTTGAAGCCAGGGTGATGAAAAGTATGGTATACGCCATCTAGTGATGATGCATGTGTATCAAGTTTTGTTAAATTATCTACCAACTGAGCCACTATGCTGCCCAGACTTTTTATTGCAACATCCAAACATACAGTAATATTGAGGAACACAGGAACTGTACATAAAATTACTAAATTGTGCGGACCAGAGGGATGTGCTACTTTGTTTGGTTAATAGTTTATCAAATTATTTCATATTTTGCAGTAGATGTGCACAAACATTGCACACCCATTTACACCCTGAAATTACTATGCTTCTACCATTTTAAACTTGAAGTTGCAAAACTGGGAACTAGAAAATGTGTGTTCCTCATTTTGTTGAGTAAAATTATGGTGTATTAATCTTAACAATATGGCAGTTATATCAATGAAAGAAGGTTTCCTTAATTGCTCTTAAGGTTGTTTTTTTTTTTTTACCTGAGTGAGTCCTGAAGTGCATTTCCAAACTGGACTTTCCTTTAAATTCTTTCTTGCAAACCTCACACTGATGCACAGCAGTCTTATACCTAAAGAAAGGAACAGAGACAGAACTGATGATTGTTTGCTAAAACATTCTGGCTAATGTGGGGGGTAAAATGCAGATGCAGACAATTTTGTTGGCACCCTTTTATTTAAAAAAAAAAACCCACCAAAAACACAATGATCACTGAAATAATTTGAACTGACAAAAGCAATATTGACATAAAAAAGAAGTAAAAAAAAATGGTCTTAAACTTAAAGAAACTGATCCAGATGACACAATTTAACCTTTTTTGTTGTTATTAACAAATCTTTATAAAAACACGAATAAGAATCAGTCACAGTGTTTGAATTTTGGTTCAATAGAAACATTAAAAGAAATTAATAAAACTGGCCTTGACAATAAGGATGTTACTTTTTAAAAAGATGTTTGACCACAGGAATGTTAAACTCAGGTGTGTCCAGTTATCAGCATCGCATGTGTCTTCAGACCTGCAATCATTCACTTTGTCTATTTAAAGGGTGAAAAGTAGTCACTGTGCTGTTTGGTATGATGGTGTGTACACATGATACACATGGACCATTGTCCACTGTCTCAGGAGCTTATACAGTAAATACAATTACTGAGCTTGATGTTGAAGGTAAAGACTATCAGACCATCTCCAAGCAGCTTGATGTTCCTCTGACTACAGCTGCTCAGATTATTCAGAGGTTTAAGGTCCACAGGACTGGAGACAGCCTCGCTGGACGTGTCCACAAGGGGAAAACTGCAGATATTTTGAAGAGACTGATAATAAGAATGGTAACCAAAGTGCCCCAAACATCTTCTAAAGACAATACAGGTGAACTCCAAGATCAAAGGTTATCAGTGTCAGATCACGCCATCAGTTACTGTTTAGGCCAAAGTGGAGCCAAAGACGATGATTGAGGAGGACATCAAATCATAAAAAACAAGATTTGAATTTTCCAAAATACGTAGCAACAAAATGTCTAGTACAGTCATTTGGACAGATGAGACCAAACTGGAACAAGTCCCATCAGCTGTTTGTTCACAGCCCCAAAAATAAAACATGCAAAGAAAATCACACAGTGCAACGTGGAGCAAGCTCGGTTCTGTTCTGAAACTGCGTTGCTGCTTCTGACACAGGCTGTGCTGAATTAGTGCAGGGTTCAATGAAATCTCAAGACTATCAAGGCCTTCTGGAGAAAAAAGTACTGTTCAGTGTCAGAAAGTTTGGTCTCAGTTGCTGGTCCTCCCAAAACAGCTCTGAACCAAACATTGGACTGCAGTAGACCCTTGCTACTAAAAGCTTGTGCACGACACATGATTGTCAACTTTAATATTACTTGTGATTGGGATGGTATGGGATAAAAAGTTAACGGAAAAAATACTTTGGACAGGCGCTGCCATTTCGTAATTTCCTTTCAATAAGCCTACACTGTAATGCAAGTCAAAAGAACTACTCTACCCAGAAGCCAACAGTGCTTCCGGCCGCTGCTTTATGCTGAAATGGAAGGATACGGTAGTTCTGCAACGCAAAGTCAGAAGTAACGATTTATCTGTGAAGTTCACAGAACTGGCAGGAAAGTTGCAAATAACCATGAAACTTCCTGAAGCTCGTTTATCCACGAGCACATCAACCTGGACGGAGCGGTGGGAACCGAGCCCGACCGGAACCGAGCTGCTGGTCTGCAGAGCTGGTGAGTAAAATTTTGCAGTACTGTACAGTACATATATGTATGTCGTTAAAATTATGTAGGTTCAAGAGTTTAGAACATTGCAAGTGTGGGAAGGGTTTATAAAGCCTTAAAATATTTACGTCTAACGTAACCCCCAAGATAATCGAGGGACTACTGTATTCTGAATTGGCCACAGGGCTCAGAAGGAGCAGAAACATGCAGTCTGGAGAAGGAAGCCTTCAAACCTGAGACAACTGAGGGCCAAAATACCTGAACTAAACTTCAAAAGCAACAACTGATTTTCAATCGTTTTTTGAAATTATTATTACTTTTGTTAATTTCAGGTTATTTCAGTGACTTTTGTAAGTTTATTTTTTCTTCAAGAAAATAGTGCTAAATAGACTGTGACTAAGTGGAGATTGGATGCAATCAGCTTGCTTTGTTAGACAGATCATTTTAAATATTAGGCATTTTTAATGTATGCGAACATTTTTGTACAGTGCCCTGAGACGACGTTCATTTTGAATTAGCGCTAGATACTGTAGATAATTTGAAATGAAACTAAACTGAACACTAATAAAACAGTCTGTGTCTGTACGTCACTAAAGATTCAGAAACTGAATAAACTTGTAATTTGTGTCATACTTCTGCCAAACTTTTTCTCCCAAATGAACACTTTTGTAATGAACTGTCAGGTGATCATGGCGCCTGAAGCACTTCCCACATTCTTCACACTGATGAGCCTTCTCACCTGTAAAAAAAAACATGGAGTGCATTAAATAAACACTAACAGAAAAATAGCGTCTGCATTGATGGAAGAAAAACATGCACTCAATCTCAGGCTTGCTGACTCAGCAGCTCTCACCAGAGTGTATCTTCTGATGTTTGGTTAGGTGGTCGTGACGTATGAAGGTTTTTCCACATTCATCGCACTCATAACGCTTGTCATCATGGTGGACTCTGAGGTGGAGCCTGCAAAAGTGGAAGTAGGAGTCTTTTAGTGACGCAGACAGTCAAAATAAAAATCTACATCATTCCTAACCAAATACACGTGTTCTATCAAACACCTGTAAGAGCTGCTGTGACGAAAACTTTGACCACAAATGCTGCAGAGATGAGGCTTCTCTCCACTGTGGATCCTCAGGTGCTCCCTTAATGTCGTCCTGTGAGAAAAACAACGTAAATAAACATATTTATTAAGCTCAGATTGATAACATTTAATCTATTTAAATGACAAACTTTAATATTAATGAGGTGTGCTTTCATACTCAAGTATGAGAGCTATATTTTTTCCTTTCCACTGTTGCCTTTGTGCTAGCTTAGAATGTGAGACTGTGATGAAGTGAAGACTCAACACAATCTGCTGCTTCCTTAGAGAGTAACTTTTACTAATTGACTTTTATAATGTACTGTATGTGAATGTTTCTGTTCAGTGCCCTGAGATGACGTCTGTTGTGAGAAACTGAACTGAAATCAATTAAAATCTGCACCTTTCTCTTACTGATTTCCCACAAACAAAGCAGGTCCATTTTCTTTTGCCTCCATGCGTGCACTCAATGTGCCTCTTTCTGTTGCCTGTGTCATTAAACTGGCGTCCACAAATCTCACAGGGGAAAGGGCCTGCCATGAGACAAAATAAAATGTCAAGTGTTTACCGTAGCAAGTTGTAGAATCAAAGCTATAAACCGCTCTGAAAGCTTGATTAATATACCGTACTTGACACCGTACACGTCGCACCGCCATATAGGTCGCATCAGTCCAAATATATCTAATAAAATGGAAAAATCCATAAATACATCCCTTTGTCGCATCTATTGTGCGTCACCGCTGATGCATCGCGTTTGTTACACGACACCAATGACCACCTGAAAATGTGGGCCGGTGTTGTGTCAAAAATCGTGTGTGTGCATGGGAGGACTTTAAGAAGCATTTAACAAGATTAACACTTAAAAACAACTATTTGTTTGCTCGACATTATAGTAAAGGTGTGTCTCAGTTGAACTTTTCCTTAATAAATGCACTTTAATGGTCAAATCAGCTGCATTTCACCGGGCGGCGCGGTGAAATGCAGCTGATTTGACGTTTGCTCCAGGAGTTCCAGAGAGAGATGAAGGTGGCTCTGTATGGCAAACCAAATGTCTCATTAATAGCCACTTTTACCTATTAATGAGACACATGGTTTGCCATAATGCTCGAGGACCCTCTAGCTCAGGGGTCACCAACCTTTTTGAGACTGAGAGCTACTTCAGTGGGATCGAGCGACACGAAGAGCTACTTGTTTGATACAAACAAAATTGCACGGCTCACCTTTAATTATAGTATAATACATTTACATACATGTTAATATATAACTGCCGGATCACATCAGATCTGATCTGTATTATTACAAACTCCCCACAGTGATTATCAGTAAGGATTTAGCTTGATAAATATGATCAATTATCATTGATAATTAGTGATCAGAACTCTCAATCGAGAACTTGAGTCCCCAGTTTGAATCCCTTTATTGTCTCTTCTGCGCAGCTTTAAATTGTTCCTAGCTGTGACTGGGACTGTGGATGGTTGTTTGTCTCTTTGTCTGTCTCTGGGACAGACTGGAGACCTGTCCTGGGTGTCCCCTGCCTTCACCCAAAAGCAGCGGAGACTGGCTCCAGTCCCAAACAAAGGGGACATAACGGATGATTTACTACAACAGAAAACTGATATTTAAACATAAATGACAATTTATTTTATGTTAATCTCAATCAGTAACATTTGAAATTCAGTGCATTTTATAAATATTTTATTAACTGTTTTGTAAGAATGAACACATTTGTAACATTCATTTAAAATATGCATTTTAATAGTAACAACTTCTGTAACTTTTTAATATCCTATTAACAATAAAATATTCCAATCAAGCCCTGTTTGCACTAACTCTTGTATTTATAACTCTTCAGAAGAACTCTAACTTGTAGATACAAATTATCAGTAATGTCAAAAACAAACTGACATTTTTAAATGAATCATGTGAAGTTAGTAATGGTCCTCAGATCTGCAACATTTTTAACAATAATAATAATACTTTTTTTATAAAGCACTTCAAAACAACCACAGCTGCAACAAAGTGCTGTGCATATAAAATAATTTTAACTAATCATTGCATCTTTTAAAGAAACAATTTTTCACATATTTCATTGCTTTTTTCAAGACCTCATCTGAAAATGCCTCATGAAAAACATCTGCCATTGTCTCAAAGCTGCCTTTAACGCTGACATTCTTCTGTCTGTTGTGAGACACCAGGGGGTAGTTAGCACTGAAGCTAACATGTTAGCTGGTGAAGAGTCACTCCATGTTGTTTTGCTGTCACCACAGCACACTAATGAGAAACAGACACACTTGTCTTTCACAACTGTAAAAAGACCTCATCCTCCCAGTCACTGTAAACAGATGTTTTCTTATGTTTTTCTGCCATTTTAACCTCTGGGAGGTAAAACTAGCTTGTAGCTGCACCGCTGCAGAGATGGGAGTAGTCTATGCATGATTATGAACTTTGACCCCAGACAAGATTGCTAAACTGTATACGTAAAACTATTTCTTCTTAAAATTTGCATTAATCATGTTCATTTCAAATATACATCCTTGCAAATGTTATTTCTTAAATTTAAAAATATAATTAATGACCATTTTTAGGTGGTGCTCCTTGATGATGAGTGCTATTTCTAGAACATGCCCGCAGGCACCGCGTTGGTGACCCCTGCTCTAGCGGCTGCAAATGTTAATGTTTAATATTTTTCATGTCAGAAAGAATGAAATCATCAGATCTCAGCTAAAAATTGGGTTATAAATATGGTTAGTCACTTCAGTGTATAAGTCGCAGGACCTGCAAATTTATGCAAAAAGGTGTGACTTATATGCTGGCAAATACGGTATATGAAATCTGGTTTTCGTTTTATAAATGTTCAATACTTTCAAAAAGCTTTTACATCAGATGCATTTCTCACCTAAGTGATACTTTTCCTGGTGTTTGAGTCTTGCAAACCTGGACCTGAAGTATTCATCACAGAAGGAGCATTTAAAGGGCCGGTCCTGAGTGTGAAGGATCATGTGCTCCTGCAGGTGAGGCCTGCGGCTGAACGTCTTCGAACAAATCTGTTCGACAATAAAGATTTGTTCAAATTTATTTTTTCTTTTCACACACGTCCATTTAAAACTGAACATTTTAATCGTTATTCTGAACACAAGCAGCATTAGCCAAAACAAACAATTGGGATGAATAACAAGTGGTCTGGTCTAAAACCAGAGCTGGTCCTTACCGCACACTTCCAGCCTTCGCTCTTCTTTCTTCTTGTTGCCAAAAACTCTTGGGTGTGATCTGGGTGAAACCTGGAAAGAGATAATAGACCTGTGATGAAAAATATGAACTGCAGCTGCACATTACATAGCAAAAGAAAGACAGTGAAAATAAAACCTATTCATAATGTGAACCATTTTTTTTATATCTAGAGAGCAATTCAGGTACAGGCCACGCACCCATAAAAATTTCTGCTCCTTAATTCGCAATTAAGCTAATAAAGATGTAATTCTCAGACATTTATTTTATTAGGTGCAAAGTTTATTTACAGTTACACATTCTGATTTACAAGCACAAAATATATATGACTGGAATTTGTGCCCACACACATTCAGACGAGCTGATCCACGCCCTCATGTTGACAGATTCATCCACCGCAGGTGATTTGTGCATATTTATTTAAACGTTTGTACGTGCAGAATATTCCTACTTGTGCAATTTGAAATGTGTTTATGCATTTATAAATCTTGTATGCTTGTATAAATATATAAATGGGATTAACCTGTGTAAATAAAGGTTGAAAAATACTGTTGAGACTAATTTATCTTAAAATATCTAGTGAATTCCTTGTAAATACTCTTGTAATGTGAAACTGGTGGTTTCATCATCTTTTCTTGCTGTTGTTCCCTCTTCAGGTGTCTCCACAGAGAGTCATCCTCCTCCATCTCACTCTGTCCTCTTCATCCTCTGTCCTCACTCCAACTACCTCCATGTCCTCTCTAACTGCATCCATATATCTCCTCTTTGTCTTTCTCCTGGCAGCTGCATTTCTAACATCCTTCTACCAATATACCCACTGTCCCTCCTCTGGACATGTCCAAACTAGGCCCTGGGTCTGGAGAATTCCCGGTGGTCCGGTCTGATTTGTGGGCTGCAGGGCCGGCTCTCACTATTTTTGATAACTTTTTATTAACAACATATAAACACAGAACACGCTACCGCTGCTCCTGGACCGTCCTGCCTCCTCCACAGGAGGCGGGGCTAGACTGCAGCTCTAGTTTTTTTTTTTTCACAATTCGGCTCCGCTGCGCGACCTGTCAATCAATCCAGTAGGCGTGTCAACAAATGACCAATCGGTGACCTCAATTTGTTCCGAAGGTAAACGCCCCTTACCTGCAGATATGGGGCTGCTTGCAGCCAGGACGCTTTACGGTCAGAGGGGATTGTGAAAAATCACCAGAATAAAATGGTTAAACAGTGTCAGTGGAGAACAGGTAATCCAGACATGTGTTACCCTGAGCATTTAGAGGGTGGGATACAGTTTATTATTTTTCAAAAATTAAACTGAGTTTGGAAAACATGTAAAAAGCTGGGGACCGACCCCATCAGCTGATCACAAGTTATAAACAGGAAGTAGCTACCACATGTTCATCTCTACGAAAGTAACTGCAGGTAAATCCTCCATTTTCTGTAATTACATTGTATGCTTAATGGTTAAATTAAAGGTTAATGCTTAATTCAGGTTATGTTTATTTGTCATATGCAGGTTAACACAAGGTTAACAGTAAAATAAAATATTCAGGATGAGAAGAACTGATTAGACTCACTAAAACAATGAACAAACAAACAAGAACTACAAAAGCATTCAATAAGGGTACAACATAAAGTACCAAAAAGTGAAAAAGTAAATACAATATTTACAAGGTCCTAAAGAAAAAAATAGCAAACAACATGGTAGAATATAATGGTGCAAGTAGGATGAATTTGTATGAATAAGTATTTCAAGGTAGTAATATAAGCTTAAATTCACATGATGTATACTGCACGTAACTAACATAAACTACACAGGTTGTGACAGATTATTGCACAGGTAGTGAGTAACATTGAGATGAATTATGATGGTAAGGTACATACATGATACAGCCACATAATGCATTAGCAATAAAATATTAGGTGACACAAGATAATATTAGTCATATTAGTTGTCACAGATGTGGCTTGGTGCAATGTTATTGCCAGTTGTTCAGTGTTATTTATTGAGAGTTCAGTAATCTGACAGCTTGTGGATAATAACTGTCTTTGAGTCTCTAGGCTATACTAAGGTATGTTTCTTAGACTGTGGCTAGGATGCATGAGAGAAGCGGAGCGTGCTCTATTCACACAAGGAGAGCTGTTGGTCAGGCTACTTCTTGTTGTGCCATTAACTCTAAAATAGTTATTGAATCAAGTGTTATTTATGTAGGCAAAACTAAATGTTAAACAGCCCATTAAAATACACCAGAATGCAGGAAATGTCATCTACTTTATTCAAAATTTTCTGGGGGAGGACCCCCAGACCCCCACCAGTGTGCTCCCCCATACCATCATAGGTTCATAGTTAAATTAAAGGTTAATGCTTAAAGCTGTTGCACTTTGTTTTGTGTGTTTTATATTTAGATATATGTTGTAACTTCTGGTGGCATAAGTTTAGTCTTTGTTTGTTATGATCCTTTAAAACTAAAAATGCTATTTGTGACTGAGCTCCTCGTTTACGGTTATACCACCCTGAACACGCCCAATCTCATTTGATCTCGGAATCTAAGCAGGGTCAGGTCTGGTTAGTAACTGGATGGGAGACCCCCTGGAAATACCAGGTGCTGGAAGTTTTTGTACTTCTCAAAAACCACACCATGAGGTGCATTGTTCAAGACAACAACCATTGTCAGTACTGGGGGCTAAGCACCCCTTAAGGTCAGATCCTAGAATCGTCCCTGGCTGTACCTCTGATGATCTCATTCCTAATCATATCTATCCTTCCTACTCCCAATGATAACCTTAACATCTTCATTTCTGCCACTTCCAGTTCTTTCTCATATCTTTTTGTCAGTGCCACCGTCTCCAGACCATACAACATAGCTGGTCTCACTACTCGCCTATAAACATTTCATTTGACCTTTGCTGACACCTTTTTTCACTCATCATTCCTGCAACGTTTCTCTGTCCTGCCTGGACACTTCTTCACCACACTCCCTGTTTTCATTGCCTCTGCTCCATTAGTACTATTAGTACCGGTACATCACGGTGCAACTTGGCTCGACACGGAATGAGTTGTGTATTTATATTTTCAGTAACGGTTCTAGTGGGCGGGTTCAGCTCGGAGCCCACAGGAGCACGTGAGGCCGGGGCCCAGGCTCCAGCTTCACGTGCTCCTGCAGATCGGCAGCACGGAGGATCCTCCACAGTGACAGGCGGAGCTTGGAGACGGGAGATGACGTCCAGCCCAGCCTGAGGAGGCCCCAGTGGAGAGGACCGGGTGGACCAGTGGAGCTCCATCTAGCTTGTTCTGAATTTTGTCGTCAGCCACCAAGCACAAAAAACACCTGCACTTCAGCATTAGACCACGGTGTTGTGATTATTGTTTTTAACATCTTAAAAATAGGTTCAGTCGCACCTCGAGTTTGAGTTATTGCAAATGGCGGATCGAGTTGTTGTGAAAGTTTCTCAAACGACCAGTGACCCCATCCCCTGACAATCAGTGACTGACAGTGTTCTGACGTCACGCTTAATGGCCAGTTCGGCACGGTTAGAACCCCAGGAACTGAAAAAGGGGCCGATTCCACGAACCGATGTTAGTGGAAAAGCCTTGGAACCGTGCCGTGTTGAGTCAAACCATGCTGTACCGTTACTAATGGAAAAGGAACAATAGATTACCAACTCTAAGTACTTGAAGTCCTGCACCTTTGTGACCTCTGCTCTTCGTAGCCTCACTGTTCCACCAGCCTCCCTCTCATTCACACATGTACTCTGTCTTACTGCAGCTGACTTTCATTCCTCTTCTTTCAAGTGCATACCTCCACCTCTCCAAGTTCTCTTCCACATGTTCCCTGTTCTCACCACAGATCACAATGTCATCTGCAAACATCATAGTCCATGAGGATTCCTGCCTGACCTCATCTGTTAGTCAGTCCATCACCAGAGCAAACAAGAAGGGGCTCAAAGCTGATCATTTATTCCTATTTTTTTTTCTAAATTTTGAATCACTAAAAATGTGAGAAGAAAAAATACAAATTGATAATCCTGAGCAATTACAGTATATGCTCAGAATTTTGCTTTAAGTATGATTATTGATACATTGACATTTGTTTTATAATCACATCACAGCCTTCTGTATTGTAATTAAACTGTGAGGTGACAGACAATGTCCTCCCTGAACCCTTACTACATCTCTGCAGGACTGAACAACATTTTCTGATTGGAAGGAAAGGTGATCATCGCACCTTTTGACATGCTTGGCCAGTGTTTTTTTGCTGGCGTGGAGCTTGTTACAGAAGGGACATTTGTGCTCTTTCTTCTGGAAGGGTGCATCACTGGCATGCTTCTTCTTGTGCACAGTCAAATTGGACTTGGTGGAGTAGAACTGAAGACAGATGTCACACTGGAATGGTTTCTCTCCTGTGTGGACTCTGGTGTGGCTCTCATATTTACCTGAAAAATAATGAAAAAATAAAACCACAAGAAGAATCGAGAAAAAAAAATAGGACCATTATAACTTGTGATCATGGTGATGGAGACTGCAAGTACAGGATGCAGTCTCCATAGCGCTGCATCCTGTACTCATACATCTGGACAATAACAACACATATGCATGTATGCTATTTGCTGATTTCAGGGCAGCATTCACTACTGTAAAACCTGCCACGTTAGTCTCTAAACTTAGAGATCTGGGCATTAACACCTCCCTCTGTCACTGGATCGTGGACTTTCTAACCAACAGACCTCAGCATGTAAAGTCAGGCCCCATCTACTCCACCACCATCACATTAAATACAGGTGTACCACAGGGCTGTGTGCTGAGCCATTCCTCTACCTCTTCACCCACATATGCAGGCCTGTGCATGAATCAAAGTTTACTGATGACACCGTGGTGAATGATTGACTTAATCAGCAACAACAATGAGCCAGCCTACAGAGAGGAGGTACAGCACCTGGTCGCATGGGGCGCTGACAAAAATCTGCTCCTTAACACCAGCAAAACAAACGTGGACTTCAGGAGGATGGCCCACGTGGAGGTACCCTCACACATGACCCTATCCGCATTAACAGTATGGCTGCTGAATGTGTCTCCAGCTTCAAGTTCTTGGGAAACAACATCTCAGAGGACCTATCCTGGACCACCAACACTTCCAGCCTGGTCAAGACAGCTCATCAACGCCTCTTCTTCCTGAGGACACTGAAAAACACCATCTTTCCGAGGATGTCCTGGTGAACTTTCACCGCTGTGTGATAGAATATCCTGACCAGTAATGTCAGTGTATGGTATGGAAACTGCACTGTCAGACTGCAAGACAGCGCAGCAGGTGGTGAAAACATCACCATATCACCATGGCGCATCATAAGGTCTCTACTTCTACTTATTGCAGATACTCAGAGGAAACACTATCTGCATCGAGCTTTCAGCATTCTCAAGGACTCCTCTCACCCTGCCCATAAACTATTTGCCCGCTTGCCCTCAGGCACTTCAGGAACCGCAGGACCAAAACCAGCTAACTCAGGAACAGCTATTTTCCAAGAACTATCTTCTTATTGAACTTGGTCACCAGTTACACTCACCCCCCCCCCCCCCCCCCCCAAAAAAAAAACAAAAAAAAACCTCTCCTATTGATTTTAGACTGTAACAGTATTCACATTGTGCATACCATTGTATACTGTTTTTAAACTATACTGTACATAATTCAAGATGCACACATCCATCCAACTGGTACATTTATAACACTTTAATCTGTTTTTAGGTCTGAAATAGACCAATCGGTATACTGTGTATATAGCACATTCATATATTATCTACTATACCCACTTATCTGTACATCATGTTCATAGTATAGTAATACAGTATAAAGTATATTTTGCACTTGCTGTTTATTGCACTACTGGTTAGATGCCAAACTGCATTTTGTTGCCTTGTACTTGTGTAATGATAATGAAGTTGAATCTAGTCTAATGGGAGATGTACTAAGGGAAATACAAAATCTATAATTGATCACAAGGAATGTATAGTATCCGCCATCATTTAAAAAAAATCATCTTATCCTAAAAATTGATGGTTCTTTGTGGTCAAATCTTGAAACTAACTTTATGCAAAATATTACGCTTTGTTGGGAGAAGTCACGCTCATGTTGTGAATGACTCTTGGCTACAGCCACACAAAATGTAATCTAAACATTTGTGAAATTGACTGAAATATAGCTCTTTATGTGTTTTCTAATTTCAGTTGGCTGTGGTGGCCATCTTGAAATGGGTTGACTCCAGAATTTAAATGGTAGTAAATGTACATCTAATGATTACTACTTGACAATGTCATTAAAATGTGTTGAGTGGCTCAAGAGATATTTTGCTAACAGACAAACAGGGTTGACAGACAGATACCTAATGCTAAATATTTAATTAATGGTCTTGTGCAAATAATAGAACTTGAAGTATGTGCTATGAATGACTTTCAACTACTACCACACTAAATTGGAACAAAATATCTGCAAAACCTTATGTCAGTTGGCTGTAGTAGCCATCTTGAATTAGACTCGCTCTGAAAATTAATTACCAATAATTATTTTTAAAAAGTTTCAATACAATCTAACAAGTAGGCCTCAAACTAGATAATTAAAAATAGTGCTTAAAATATATGTTGGTGATCAGTCTCAGCTACTACCACACCAAGTTTTACTAAGACATTTTTGTATTTGTCAGGTCTGTTGGCTGCGGCATCCATCTTGAATTGGATTTATCCTAAATTTAATCAGTTGTAGACGTACATCCAATGATTACTAAAGATTCTACTCTACTCAAGATGTTACTCTATGAGCCTCACCTGCACGGTCAAAGGTCTTTTCACATTTGGGACACTTGAGAGTCTTCTTGCTGGAGGTGTGGATGATGACTGGAGCCAGACCCTCGGGGTACACTGGACACTGGTTGGAGCTTCTTGCTGCTGGTACATGAACATCCAGCTCTTGCTCTGTCATTTCAGACAGTGAATCTTTCTTACCTGAGCTCTTGTCTGCTCCTGAAGCCTCAGAAGCTTTATTTAGAGCACCACCATCTGCGCCAATATCTCCTCGCTCATCTTCCCCACCATCTTCATCCATCGCATCATCCCCCTGAGCTGGTCTGAAGGTCTCATTCCCATCTGTAGCTTCATCTTTTTTGTTTTTATCTTGCGGTGATGAAAATCTTTCCTGTTCCTGGGTGGTGAGATAGTACTTTAAAGAATCCCTCTTATATTTAGGTTGTGTTCTTCTCCGAGCTGATCTCCGGGTGCTAGAACTCCTCTGATCCATCATAGTCTTTACCCCTTCAGTGGAAGCTTCCTCCTGTAGATCAGTAATCTCAGTGGAACTGTCTTGATGGGAGAGTTTGGTCGTAAACTGAGAGGTGAACAGGTTGTACTTAGCACCAGATGAACTCTGGGTCTCTCTATCAGCCCCTGTAGACTCAATAGAAGTAACTTCTGTCTGTGGAGGTCCCCTCTTCTCAGCTTTGTCAGGGCTGGCTTCCTTGTCCTCACATAATAATTTTAAAATATCCATCATGTCTAAGAATCTGGCTGCTTCAGAAAGTGCTGGGAGTTCTGTCTCTGAGACAACACACTCCGCTGTGTATAGAAAGCCAAGCAGATGTTGGAAAACTGAATCCTCCACGTGATCCAGAGTCACATGAGTTGTAGTAGCAGGACTCTTGGATAGCTCAGCATGGAAGTAGCTGCTACCATGAGCCAACACTGCCTTGTGGGCACGGTAAACCTTCCCTCCCACCAACACAGTCACATCACAGAACTTCTGCCGAGATCGGTCTTCGTTCAGAAACACGAGGAGGTTATGACTGTGCTGCGACATGGTCAGACGTCTGAAATGTGAAGGAGACCCTTGGACAGTTTCTAAGTTTACTGGGACATCAGATCTAAGAGCAGAAGATGTGTCTGGAGGACAGTCATCCCTGGCACTGGCCACACTCCCACGTTTGGGACGCAGCATAGTGCTTGGCTTCCTCTTCATTGGAACATCTGGTTATCAGGTTGGTCCTGGAAAACAGAAAAAAAAAGTGTTTAGACTGGACATAGGTATTAATCATGAGAATGGCTCTAACTAGTCAAATGCCTCCAAATGTCAACAGCACAGAGATGAAATAACGGCATAAATTTAACAGTTTAATCATAAAAAATTAAAAGGTTTGAATGTAAATAATGTAGTACCAAAACCAAAAGCCTAGCATTCTTTTTTAAGGATTGTCCACCATCTCTCATGCCAGTATTTTAAACTAAGATCAGCCTATCTTGAAAACTGATGTATGTGTGTGTATAAAACTTTAAAACCAGTTGTCCTGTCTGAAAATATTTGGTGGGTGGTATAAATTCATAATTTTTAGACATTGAAGGTTCTTAGTTATAGCTGTAGTTCTTGATTAATTAAAATGAGACCAAAAAAAACAAAACAACAATGATGTTAATTACATTTTCTCAGTTAAACCCAGAAAAATTATGTTGTTTATCATTTGTATGTAGCAAGTACTTGCTGATGTTTTTTTTAACATCTGACTAAATATTTGGCACATAATAATAAAGTATGCTATGTTGAAATAAGGCGACATGGTGGCGCAGTTGGTAGAGCTGCCACTTATCAGTAAGAAGGTTGCCGGATTGAATCCCAGCTGGGGTCTTTCTGGGTGGAGTTTACATGTTCTCTCCATGCATGCGTGGGTTTTCTCCGGGTACTCCGGTTTCCTCCCACAGACCAAAAACATGCATGTTAGACTGATTGATGACTCTAAATTGTCTCTAGGTGTGAGTGAGAGTGAATGGTTGTTTCTCGTTTGTCTCTATGTGTCCCTGTGATGGACTGGAAACCTGTCCAGATGTCCCCCGCCTCTCTCACAGTGGCTGCTGGATATGGGCACCAGCGACCCCAGCGATCCAAAAAGGAAGAAGCGGGTAAAGATGATGGATGTTCAAGTAGTGTTTAAAATATAAAAATTAAAAAAACACTGCACTATTTTCCCATCCACTATAGAGTCTACTACTGATGACCATGATGTATTGACTGTGACTGGACGAGTGAACATTTTTAACACAGCCATAAAGTTAATTAACTGTAGACGTACATCCAATAAATATCTTCTGAGTTTCATGAAATTTTGTCAACAGGTTTACCAGACTTTTTGTTGACAGAGTAGATGCCAACAGTTATTGGCAAAGTGTGAAACACAGATGTAGCACGATATGTTAGTGCTTGGGGTATGTGTTGGGAATGAATTTTAGCAACTATCACCAGTATTTATCTCAGTTTCTGTCAAATTTACAGTGTTTCAGCTATTTTGTGTTAGCCAAGGTCAGTTGGCCATGGCGGCCATTATGAATTAGGTTTATGCTAACAGTTTATCTGTTGTAGATGTACACCCAGTCAATCAACACATTCTGAGAATTTCAACAAAAACCATCCAGTGCTTTATGATATATTTTGCTAAAAGATGGACAAATGTAAACACACAGACAATTATGTATGCACCCACCCTTCAAAGCAGTGGGTAAAGATAAAGCACAAAAGTTTTTAAACAAAATGACAAGACATACTTGTTTGCGGAAGAGTTGTATTCTCATTTGTTGAGCTTTCTCAATTCAAACAGGAAAGTTTGAAGTTTCAATCTGTAAAACTTCATCTCTGTAGAAACATGGCGCAACACAAAAGCCTCAGCTCTGTTGGCCAAGAGTAGGAAATTTAAGTACATCTTAAAGTTAAGATATGGTCTATAGAGGACATCAATGTTCACATTTTGGACATAGAAGGCAGATGGTTTGAAAAGGGGTTAAGGAAGCTATTTATCTAAACCAGGGGTCTGTAACCTGCGGCTCTGAACCACATGCGGCTCTTTGTTCCCTCCACAGCGACTGTTTCAAGCTTTAACCAAAACTAACATAAAACTGAATTTTATTTTTATATATTTATAGAATGTCATACCAACAACAAAAAATGACTAGTTTTAGCAGTTTCCTTTGCATTTCCTTTGTAAATATGTGGATGCTAGTAATAATACACAGTAAATTATATTCACTTTAACTTTATGCTGTATATCTTAAAAGTAGGATACTCAATTTTTCCACAGTAAAAAAAATAGATAAAATGATATATGCCTGCACAGTTCATTAATTTAGTTTTGTTTAAAATGGCAAAAATTATAGATGGATGGATGGATGGATGGATGGGTGGATGGGTGGATGGGT